ATAGATCATCCAGACAAAAAGTCAATAAAGAAATAGTAGACTTAAAAAAAAAAAAAAAAAAAAAAACCGAGGCTCCAAGGACCCCCCAAACTGACTAGAGACAGACTCTCCATGGGTGGAGCCCAAGAGTCGGCTTTTATCAAAAGATCCCCAGATAACTAGGACTTGAAAACTCCCCTTGGTGGCTGAGAAGTCCAGTTCTCTTACGTTCTGCAGGTAGGATTTGGGAGAAAGAGAGAGAACCGCGCAGGAGGAAAGCAGAGGAGAGACAGAGCACACGGTGGCTTTGTTCCCAGCGACTCCTGGTCCCACAGAGACACCCCCAGGAAAGCGCGCCCCGGACAGGGCCCTCACCGCCACACTGGTCCCGCGGCCGCTGAGCTCTGCTCTGGACTCCTGTAGGCGCACGGACCTCATCCGCTCCAGCTTGCGCCTGCGGACAGCATCCCCCTCGTGGCTGGCGCCCCGGGGCCCCTCGTGCCCCTGCTGCGTGTGGGTGAACAGCAGGGCGGCCAGCTCGCCGTCCACATCAGCCAGCTTCTGCGCTTGGACCACGTTTTTCACTGCTGGAAGGTTCAAAGAGGGAGCCAGAGGTTAAAGGGTAGAGTTTACGTTCGTTAGCAGACACGGCGACGACCTCCCAGAACCACTTTATCCAGCGAGGGAGCTCAGAGCATGCCATTCTTTTCTACATATTCTAAGATGGTGATGAAGATGGTCATTATATAACCTGGTCTCCACTGCATCCCTCCTTTTATGAGCCTCTCAAATCAAAGGAATTCTGATCTTGGTCCCTGGATACAAATTTACTAATACGCCACTAGGCAATTTTCTAGGGGAGAAAAAGGTCAGTGTTCTAGAAGCTCACGCTCTCAGAATTCTCAAGGGTCCGCTGACACCCTCACCCAGGACCTCCGGCCCCTGCACACAGGCAGCCCCTCCAGCAAGCACCTCCCAACGCCCAGCACCACTCTGAGCTCTCAGGCACACTGTGCCGTCGGGTCCTCAAACCCCCCCAGGGTGGAATGACATGAGCCCTGAGCTCAGATCAGGAATCCGGGGCTCTGAGGAGTTGAGCCCCCTGGCACGACGCCCCCCGGCTGGTCAGACCACACCTGGCTGCCAAGCTCATGCCCTCCACTCTGTGCCCTGCTGTTTCTGGACGGCCTGGCCCCCAGGGCACCGACTCCTATGGGTGGCTCTACTCAAACCCTGGACACACACAAAAGCCGAGTAGCAAACAGAAGCCGAAACAAGCCAGACATGGGCAGGTAGAAGGGCTGCATTTTCTTTTTTCCGTCAGTGGCTGTACTGGTGACAAAGCCACATATGGCACATGCCACATTGCAAGCTGACACGTGAGATTCCAAGACAGTCACTCAACCCGGCACAGGCAGCAGGAGAGGGGGCACCCCAACTTAGCACCGGGGCCCTTCCTGACTCCCAGGACCATCAGAACCCACGGGAAATAAACACCACCCTGGGCCCTCTCCCTGTCATCACGCGTCTCCAGCCTCCTACTAAAGTCTCCGTGCAGAGGGAGGGAAAGCAATTTTCTCCCCTACTCGCCCACCATTCCTCCATCACCAGTAAACAAGTGATATTTCCAGGTTCCTCACCACCAAGCTATTTTAAAGCCATTTAATTGTTTTCAGATGCCATGCGTTGGCTTAGATGTCTTATGGCCCCAAGAGCATTCATCGTGTCCCTGGGACAACTTCCTATTTCCAGAACCTTGCCCAGTGGTACAGACGTGGGCTTTCTGAGGGAGCACCCCTGGCCTCTGGTTTTGATCAAAATAGAGACTGGAGAAGCGATGACTCCAGGGCCTCTCAATTCTCTCTACAAACCCTCACAGGTTACAACTCCCTGCGCCGCCTGGCAGAGCCCCTGGTCTGCTGGGCCTGGAGCCGGGGGTTTTCCAAATATTCTCAGCCTCTGTTCCTGGAGTGTGGGAACTCCTCACTCCACGGAGCCAGCTCTCCATCCATTCTCTTAGTGGCCAGACAGACCAGCTGGGGATGGAGAAGCAGTGGCCCCAAAGCAGGAAATCCAGATTCTAGTCCAAGTTCACCACCCTTAACCACATAACCAGCCAAGTCGCCTGACCTCTCTTTGCCTCAGATTCTTCAACATTAAAATGAGGAAGCTGGCCTAGAACAGACTCTCTGCCTGCCCGGGTCATGGATCACTGACCCCTCTGAGCATCTGAACCTACAGTGGCCCCTCTCCCCGGGAGAATGTACGAGGACCTACAAAGTGTTGGCTGCTGCTTCAGGGGACTCACGGGATCCTGGAGGCCTCCCAACATGGAACCAGAGGCCCCCCAGTCCTCCCCAGACACAGCTCTGGGAGGCCCTCCTGGAGCAAGGGTTCAAGGCCAACAACGTCAGAAGACCATCGGCCCGGGAAGCTCAAGACAGTCTGGGATTCACGCGGATGATCTGCAGCATTTGGGGGATGCTACTTAAAGGGCACCTCCCACTCTTCATTCCAACAAGTATCTTATATTCAGGTCTGTGGGTCATTTTAAGGGGACAAAAAACTTCACAACTTCCCTGCTGTGAAAAATATTTCCACCAAGCACAGGTCTTTACTCCCCAAGCTTCGTAACTGGCTTATTCTTCCTCTTCCCAACGTGGGGAGTTTCAAATTAGTGTTTATACGTCAGTCTATGTTCATCCTGACCTTGTCTTCATTTCCTCTTCCCTTGCAGACGAGCAGCTAACCAAAAACAAATACTACTCTCGGGATCATAATTTCTCTACAAAGTTAACACAGGCGGCTTCACAGAGCCCAGTCGAGAGAGAGCTGCGTTTGATGAATGCGGACAATCAACACGGCCTGCAGGTCCACCGAGGCAGAGCACTGAGCTGGACACTAATAGCCACCAATCTGCCCCCAGATCCACAGGGGCAGGGACACCACCACACAGGTTCACACGTGTACATGTACGCACACACTCACTCATGCACACTCACACATGTACACACACGCAGCCTCACACGTGTACATGTGCACCCACAGTCACTCATGCACACTCACGCACGTACACGCAGCCTTCTGCCCCTTGTTCCACCCCACCCCCACGCCATTCGCACCCATGCACCACCCACCTGCCCGCGGGTCCAACACTCTCTCCACTCACGTCTCGGGCCCCCACGCGTAAGGAGGCTGCCTCCCTCGAAACAGCTGGCTCCATCATTGGAGATGACCCGGGACCTGGAAGGTGGCAGCGAGCTGGAATTTCTCACTCTCTGTTCACACAAGTGACCTAAGTTAAAAACACCAGGCAAAAAATATTAATACCAACATAGAGCCTGATGAAATATGTCAACATCCCTCATAGGGAGTTCCAGCTTTCAAACGGCCCATCCGCACCCCCTGACCTGCTAACATCCCCAAAGTCCACTCCTGGTTCTGAATTTGTTTTGCAATTGCGAGAGGACAGGAGGAGCGTGTTTTCTTCCAAACGCTTCCCTCTCTAGGTTCCTATTCTCTTCCATCTGAGCAGCAGTCTCTGCTTTCCCACGATGAATTAAAAATGAAAGCTCGGGACGCTCAGCGTGCGCTCGCGGACTCTTACTTCTTGATCTCTGGATCGGCCCCGAGCAGCCCTGCGATGTGGGATGATTCACAAACTCTAACGTCAGCCTTTTGAATATCACGCTGTTCAAGGGAGGCCTTTGTGCACTTCTGCAAACGTCTGACTCCAAATACACTCTAAGGTAAAAGAGCCTCCACGAACTAGAATCTTCTGGAGTTGTCTTCATAAAGAAGTCTTTGGAGAGAGCAATGCTGCTTTGGAGGGAGGGACACATGCCCAGAAGCAGAGCACAGCGTCACACTTCCCTCTGGCTGAACTTGCCAACCTCGGAGAGTCCCAGGGGATGAGAAGTGTTTCCCCGTAGAAGGGCTTCTCCCCGGAGGACAGAATCCTGCCACCTCCCTGCATGGACGTGACTTCCACCTTGGGGTGAGGCGGTGTACAGCTAATGAAGCTGCATCCCGAGGTGAACCACCCAAGTTCCAAACACAAAATGCTGGTGCTGCTGACTGCCCTGATTCCAGCAAGATGGTGTTGAACACCCGCAGGCATGAGTCGCCCTGGCAATCTTTCTGGGAGCTGTGAGAAGCGGAACCCCCTCTGGGTACCTGTTTCCTACCTCTCTGCGACCCCACCCTCCCCACCTCTGCTCTGCCCCCAGGAGGACAGGGTGACTGCCCTGCTCAGCTCAGCCCTCCTCAGCCTCTCTTCAGGTCTACCTGTTGCTCTTAGCCTCACGACAAGCTTCGCGCCTGCAGGAGGCTGCTGTTTTCAAGGGCCAGCTCCGTGCTGGGCGCGTCAGCACGCCCCCTGCCTGCAGGTCTGAGCCTTGTCTTCTCTTCTCGGGGACAAAGGTGGAGTTTTGTCTCCTGCCTGACAGAAACGTCTCTGTCGTGACTGGCTCTGAGCTGAGGTTGGAAAGGGAATGCCCGACCTTCCAGGGGAGGCCAGGTGGTCTCTGTGCTGCTCCAAACGGGGGCCACAACCTCTAGAGCCCTGGGAACTGCAGCTAGAGACCCCAAAGATGTCAGTGCAACAGCAGACCATCCCCCAAAAGACTGGCGAGGACAAAGGCCCTGATCTGGGGGTAGGAAAGCCTGGATCCAGAAATGACAAGACAACTGAAATCACCTCTGGACGAATCAAGGAGTGAGTTGCCTGACGTGGTCTAAAGGCTGGAGATACAGCAGTGGGGAGGCCTCCCCGCCGAGAACTCCCATTCCCACCATTTTCAACTTCCCGGTCGTCTGGAGTGTTCTTGGGGAATAAGCTCACGGTGGCCTTCCTGCCAGCCTTCCTGCGCTGGGATCCTCTCTGGGTCATCTGCCTGCCATCCCGTTCATGGCTCAGAAAGCAGCCCTGGCAAACGCTCCGTGTCAGCTGCCTTCCCCGTCCTCCCTCAGGCAAGTCATTGCACCATGGCAGGGGCGGGCCGCTCATCGGAGCCCTCCCTGGGGCAGCTTCTTCAGCTCGGGCGTGTGAAGCCTGGGGTCAAGCCTCAGCTGAGAAACGGGCTCTGGAAGCCAGGTTCTGCCTGCCAGCACTCACACCGTTACTGCTGGACGCCAGACAGCAGGGCTGCCTCCTCCACCCTGGCCAGTAAGCTCCTCACCTCCTCTTGCTGCTGAGGCCAGCAACAAAACCCCCAGCCCCGGGCCTCTTCCTGGGCAGCTCAGTGCCAGCCCACGTCCAGCGTCACACCCTCTTCTCCTGCTGCTCCTTGCATGTCACCTCAATGTCGGTTTTGTGATGTGCAGTGGACAGCAGCCTGGGCGGCTCCCATGTGCAGAAGGCCTGCACTCCACCGCAGGAGGCCCTGCTTCCCCTCGCCGCCTCGCTCCAGCGCCAGCCACGACGCTCCCACCTTCAGGCTCAGGTCTCCTCGCGGACACCTACGCTACCACTCCCATTCCCCTCTGGCCCTGCTTCTTGAGAACGGCACCCGCAGTCACAACTGTCCTTGGTCTTTGCTCCGTTGAGAACCACCAGAAACCCTCCGCCGTGCTCCGCTCGTCATCCACCCACAGCTGCTCCCACCCTCTTTGAGGGATCTTCCACCTTCCCCGGCAAACCGAGGCTGACAAGTCTTTTCCAAACACGCATTCTCCGTGTCTCCAAGGGACCTATTTTTGACTCCTGACAGCAGCTCACTGTCATAGGATCGCCATCCTCGTCCCTCAGGAAAACAGCTGCTGTCAACAGCCCTGCTCATGGAGAAGCTCAGGACCTGCCATCCCTGGAGTCCAAGAAGAACAGAACCCCAAGGCAGGCTGGGCTCTCAGGCTCTCCTGCTTACTGATCCACTCCTGAATCTTCCCACCACCGTGCTGAGTCGTGGGGGCACCGCTAGGGTGAACATCACAAGGAAGGACCGGCCAGTGTCCTCAAGGAGCCCCCAGAGCCCCGGGAGACAGACAAGCAGACATGCAGATGGGGCAGGGACAGAGAGCCTGGCTGGGCAGGGAGGGGGAAGCAGCCTGCCCCAGGGCCCAGCCAGCCAGTGCCAGAGCCAGAGCTCGCGGCACTGACCTCCGCTGACCCAGCTCTCCTCCCACCTCCCTGCCTTCCCTGTGAGAGAGGGACGAAGCGCCCCCACCCCAAGCTGAGATGGTCCTGGCTCCCGAATCTCTCCGCCATTTCTTCCCACAGCAGGGGCGGCAGTGTGATGACTGACGGGTCTTGGCAAGCTCTCTGTCCTGTCCTGAGGACCTGTGCCACCAGTTACCCGGCACTAGGCACTGCTACCTCCGCTCCCTGTGGGGCAGAAAGGATCATGCCACACCTGAGAGAAGGCAGGAATCTTCCACAGCTTTCTCTACCACCTTAATCCAGTGGCTCGTGGTTCCCTGAACTGCAGGTGAGGAGGCCTTCGGTCCACCCACATCTAACTGAAATGAGTGCTGACCTATTTAAGCCTAGTGGTCGCTCCACTCTGAGAGATACACAGACACCAAAGAAACTGTTGCAGGGTCAGCATCGGGTCTGGACACGGGCGGGCAGCCAGCATCCTCAGAGTGCAGGCTCTCAGGAGCCTGTGGGACCTGCAGGACCACGTGGTCACCTCCCAACAGACCAGGGCCATCCCTGGGCTTCATTACCACCTTCTCCTACTGTATTTGTACTCAGAGCGTTGGTTTGTTTAGAGGATGGGACAACGAACGAGATAAGCTGAACTTACACTTGCACAATCACTCAAGGACTGTGCAGAGGCGAAGACGCTGCATTTCCTCAGGGCACAGTGTGTGACCTGAGACTGCTGCAGGTTCTCCTCCCCTTCAGTGGGACAGAAGGCCACAGCTGCAATGGGAGCGGCAAGTCCCTGCAAATGCACAGGGCTCCTGACAGCCATACAGCTATCCCACTCTCTGCACTGATGGTCACCACCATCTGACCCCAAACCAACGTCTTCTGTCCAAGTCCACACCCCCCTGTTCTCCTCAACCCTGAGAACACAGGTACCTGACTGTGGAGCCAGGAGTCAGGGTCACCCCTGCCTCCCCCGGGCGGCCCCTTGGGAGGGCTGCAGATACAAGTGACCACGGAGCTCCCAGCTGAACGCGGTCATACCGCACAGCCGGGACGCTGGTGTAAAAGAGATGGAGACAGCTCTTGTGATCTCTATATGATGAAAGATAACTGAGAGACAGCTGCAAAAGAGGCTGTGGAGAGCGTCAAAGAGCTTGTCCAAACTGAGAAGCCACCAAGCACGAGGACCACCCTCTCCCAAACAAAGATTCACGGGAGACCTGGGTGTCGGCAGCAGGTGCCTCGTTCCGTGGCCTCACACTTGAACACACCACTGTGAATGCAGGAGGCACGGAGGGCTGTCCAGGCGAGACCAAGCCGGGCATCGTGATGCTGGCATTGACCCTGCTTCTGTCACCCTGAAGGCTCACACAGCCATCAGCCAATCTGCTGGCCTGCGCCTGCTGCTCAGTGCATAACAACCAGTTTTACAAAGAAATAAAAGCCACAACACTTTTTTCCCTCAAAAAATGCAAAATTTACAGAGGAAACCAAAACGCAGCTGCACTGACACAAGCGCACTGCGTGGGGCATTTGTCCTCTGTTAATCTCTCCCCTCCCACGTCTGTGCCAGGCCTCTCAAGCTGGGATCTCAGACTCCCTTCCCATGAGCGTATCTCTCTCTTGCAGGCAAAGTATGAAAATGACAATTTAAGATAACATATAATGGAGCTAATCTTTCTTCCGAAGATAAGATTTTAAAACCTGGAGTCACTGAACATTTGTGGGCTGGTGAATTAAATATAAAAATAACCAACACAGTCTCAGAAGCAGGATGTTTCTTGCAACTCCCTCGGTCATATGAGCTTCTGGATAATGTCTGCTTCTCACATGTGGCTCATTTATTTCTCCAGAACCTAATTGAGTTTTGCTGTTTCTATACTGTGTATTTTCCAGGCTGCCTTGGATCCTACATTTGTAATAAGCAGGCAGAAACCTCAAACCCAACTTAATGAGCTGTGCGCTCAGTCCTGCTGCTGCCCCAGCTCTGCCTGCTCCATGCTGTTGGCACAGGCGCATGTGGCCCACGGGGCTCGAGGCTTTAAAATCAGGCTGGGTTTTGAGGAACAGAAAATTCCCCAAGAAAACAACAGAGAGATTTGAGTCCCATCCAGACAGACACGGCTCCAGAAACTTCAGGCAGCTTGGTTTTGACCTGCTTTTGATTTTGCCCAGAAAACCTCCAATCCTTCCACAGTCCCCTCAAGGGAGACTGAGTGGGCCTGTCATTGGCCCTCTGCCCTGAGGCAGGCACAGCCTACTATGCCCTCTCCCATTAGGGGCCTCGATTGAGCCTCCAGAAGTCCAGGAAGGACCATTCCAGCCACACCAGCCCAAAATGCCCGCCCAGCCGGCACACGGAAGGAGGAGACTCAGGGCCTTGCTCGGTCTTTCAGATGAGCAACTCTCGGACACCACTGATGCAAGGTCAACGCACTGGGCCCGGAAGAAGTGCGTTTCTCTGGCCCCTATTCCCAAGCTGTGCGGTAGGTCGGGACACTTCTCTCTTCTCTTCTCCGAGATGAGGCCGTTCCATGGGCTGACACTCCAGATGATCTCCCCTGGAACCAATTGTCTATTGGAGGCTCGTCACAGAGACGCCCGTGGGCGGCACCGAGAAACAAAATGCAGGCAAGACCGAGACGCGAATGATCCAAATCCTGATGAGAAATCAGGAACCAAACTACCGGTGCCAGGACAGGCTCATTGGTCAGGAACAGACGTAGTAGTCAAGGACACTCTCGGTGGTCAAGGGCAGGCTCAGTGGTCAGTGAGAGACTCAATGGTCAAGCTAACAAGAGTTTCCTGAATTCCCACTGAGTGTATGACGCCCAGTGTGGCTGCTGCCATGAGGCAGCTCACGCTCCAACTGGGACGACAAGCAGCCACCCGGGAAATGGCACGAAGCCAGGCAAAGCTGAGGGGACTCTTACCCACATTGGCCAAGGTCAGGTACAGCCGGCCCTTCACCACCGTGTGGACGCCAATGGGCTTGACGCTGCCGAAGCCGGTCACATCGCCACTCACCACCACCGCGTCCTGTTCATACTCAGTCGCCACGACCTCGAGCTCATGGGAGACCTGCACGGCTGGCCGCCCTTGGCGGAGGAGATGCTGCGGAGGAGAAAGGTACCAGTCGGAGAGCAGCTGGGGCAGAGTCCACCTTCTTCTGAAAACCTGAGTCCTTGATATCAGGTCTTTTCCACAGATTCTTTAATAAAGTGCAACTCGATTCACCCACTGAGTGAACACCAGGGAGGCACAAATGGGCCTGGCAGACACCCTCGTGGAGCCCCCTCTGTGTGGAGAATGACAGGAACAGAGCAACAGAGCAAGGCAGTGACACTGAGCAAACCCCATCTCCGGGACAGTGGTAGCACCAAGGGAGGTCTGAACTGGACCTTTCAGAATGAAGATGCACCTACATGCAGGGAAGGCTGGGGGCAAACCAGGCCCAGGGTGCAGAGTACAGAGCCCCCACTCCCGGCTGAGAGCACTGGGCTTCAGTATGGCTGAAAGACGGGCCAGGGGTCAGAGGAGGCGCCGAGGAATAGCTGGAGCCAAATCGCAAGGATCTCCATGCCAGGCCCAGGCTGATCAGAGCCGGGTGAGAGCAGATGTGGGGCGGTATCAGGACCTTCCTGACCACGGCTGGATCAAGTTCAACCTCTCAGTCCTCTGCCTGAACCCAAGGGCCAGTGAGGC